AGTACCACCTGAGGACAGGCAACAGGGACACCGCAGCCATCGTCTCTCCGAAGACTGGCTTCTGCGTGCCCTTCAGCAAGGGCAAATGCCCCAAGGGAAACGCGTGCAAGCTCCTGCACATGGTGGACTCCCGCAGCCGCCCTGACACTGGCGCCCCTCACAGCGAGAACTCTCGCCAGCCCCAGCGTTCTGCCCAGCCACCCGGCTCGCAGCAGCCTCACGGCGGCGCCGCGCGTTTTTGCCACAAATTCGCCAAAACTGGTGCCTGTTCGTACGGCGACCGCTGCCGCTACCCCCACGTGCCCGCCTGCAGCTACTTCCAGGCAGGCCACTGCGCCAAGGGCGACGCGTGCACCTACGCACACCTGGCAGCCAACGCTGCGACTCCGCCACAGAGCATCAGCCGCCCGCGGAGTCAGGACAGCCGTGGCCGCCGCCCCTCGCGTGGACCGAAATCTGGTCGAAACCACCGTTCGTCCAGGAGTCCGGGGGGATCTCAGCAGCCTCCTCGTGACGCCTCCCAATCTCAGACCTGGGATAACTGGCGATCTCAGCCCGCTCCCAACCAAGACGGGTATGAGGGTCAGGAAGGCACGCTCCACGACGACTCCCAGCGCGGACGTCGACCTTCTCGCGACTCAGACCGTACCAGCCAGCGGAGCAGCACGAGCACGAGGGCCCGGTCACCTGCCGCTCCCTGGAACCGAGTGTACGTCATACGCTCCAAACCCGGCGCCCTGACCGGCACCCGCGCCGGCTCCCAGGCCGGCCCCGAGCGTAACCCCCAGCCCGGCTCGCCGCCCGGCGCCCTGACCGGCGCCTTTGCCGGCTCCCAGGCCGGCTCCCAGCCCGGTTCCCACCTGGCGCACTGCTGCCTGGCGGCGCCCCCCCCGGCTCCGAGCACGGCTCCCAGACCAGCTCCGAGCCCGGCGCCCTGACCGGCACCCGCGCCGGCTGCCAGGCCGGCTCCGAGCACGGCCCCCAGACCAGCTCCGAGCCCGGCGCCCTGACCGGCGCCTTTGCCGGCTCCCAGTCCCGCTCCGAGTCCGGTCCCCAACCCGGCTGTTCTGAGCGCAGCACCTTTCTCGGCTCCGAGCCCGGCTCCCAATCCGGCGCCGAGCCTGGCGCCCTGCCTGGTGCCTCGCCAGGCCCCCAGTTTGGACACAGCACGCGAGTGTCCAACAGTCCGGGGGGCACGCGCTGTTACGACTCCTGTCGACTACGGCGCTCCCCCTCCCGCGACCGACGCCGCAGCAGCCAAAGCAATGATCACGACCCGAGCCCTTGTGATCGGCCTCCCGGCCGTCTTCGACCTCAAGTTGACGTCTGTCGTCCACGATCCTTCGCTCTCGCTGCAGTCCCTGGCAGAAAGACTCAGACGCCGAAAGGCTTGCAATGGAACTTTGCAGCCACAGAGATTCACTACTTCCCTGTTCAGACCAAAATGCGTCGACACCGTACTTCCCCTAACCAGGGATATGTGGTCCACGTTCCTGATGTTCTTCCGGACCACTGGCTGCAGACCTCCGCGGATGCGCTCCAGGAGGCAATCGAGAACGCCATCCGTTTGACCGAGCGCCTGGACGACGACCTCGACACCTGCATGCCGCTTGTCCCAGCCGGGGCAGTGCAGCAGGGAATTGCAGCAGGGCTAGTGCAGCAGGGAACTGCAGCAGGGCTAGTGCAGCAGGGAACTGCAGCAGGGACCATGCAGCAGGAAACTGCAGCAAAGTCCCCCGCGGTTCTCGCACGGTCTTGGGTCTTGGATAGTGGTTCTGCGCACCACATCACGGACAAGGACGATTTGACTCAAGCTGAAACATGTGGTATTCGTCGTGGACATGAATACGTATTGGAAACAGCAAACGGCGATCGAGTTGTTAATGAGCACATCAATATTTCTGTGCCTTCCATTAACTTGCACACAGGTTCTTTGGCTCTCAAAGGTTGTCCGTCTGTTATTTCCATGGGTCGTCTCGTCGAGGATGAGGATTGGACCATCCATTGGAGCAGAAAAGATGGGTGTGTTCTCTCACCACCTGATGGTGGACCATCACGGAAGGCCCCTGTTCGCGACTACATACCACACGTTGACGCCGATAACATGGAGTTAGTGTTTCCGCCTCCACCGAATCCGGGGGGGCACTGTCCGTGCTGCGGCGCCACGAAGGACCAGCCACGGCAAGGGGATGACTCAGCTCCGGCTCAAAAGCCGCATGCTTCTGTTACGTCTTCAAGGACACGCCCGGCTGCTGCTCCATCAGAGCATCTGGACACCAGAGCGCCCAGAGGATCTGGACACAGGAGGAGAAACCCACCTCCCCTGCCCCCGCGGCGCGGAACACGGGACTCTCCAGGAACGACCCGGCACGGAAAATCTTCCCGCTCCCAGGACTCTCCGGATCCGATTCGGCTGAAGAAATCCCGAAGCAGGAGCCCGCTGGCTCTGGCTAAGCCGTTGTTCTTTCGACAGACGGTCAAAATCAAGACCCCGGCTCTTAGTTCAGACCCCCCTGTGCTGAAGAGGCAGACGCCTCCCTCGCGTTCAGGTTGTTTTTGTGTCCTCCCTCGACAGCAGGTAGCCGCGAGCTCAGCCACCGCCGACCAGCCCGATCAGCCGGTCGATTGGGACCCCGATCGCCGATCGGACGCGGATCGATCGCTGGATCCTGGCCCCGGCTTCCATTCGCCCACTCTCGGTCCGGAGACCAGAGACGCCGTCGCTCTCCCGAGCGCCGATCGTGCGTGGTCTGACTACATAACAGATGTCATAAAGGGTGCTGCCCATCTGGACGCCGAAATTGCAGCGGGCAACCGCAGCGAGTACGGCGCTGCGAAGGGCACGTCGAAAGGGGGAGCGGAGGCCGACCCTGCCCCTCCTACACACCACAACTCCCCTTACGGTACATCATGTGGCGCGTCCTCGAGCCATGGTTCCGCCTCCTATGGCGCCCCCATGGCGTGCCGCTGGTTCTGCCGCCGCTGATTACGCAGGCTCGGCAGTTGTACCTCATGGACATCAGAGCATACCAGCACCACATCATGATGGACGATGACATCTGCATACAATTTTGATGGCTTCCAAATTTCTTCTGACTTTTGACGTGCCTCTCACATCTTGGTCGATATCAAAACCATACTTGTCACCATGGACAGGCCCAGCTGTATATGAAAAGGTACCGCAACCAGCCTACTCACCATTTCTTGCAGCCGACGCCGAGAATTTGGTTGGAGCGATGGCATAAGTTTTGTGCGTTATCTCTGGGACGTTAGCTTCGCGATAGTAGAGCAGGTGACAACCTTATTATCGATTGCAGTCTTGACAAAACGGCCTAAAGAGCCACAAAGATGATTGTCTAGCATGTACTGTTGAAAATGCACAATTGCAAAAACATGTGAAAAAGCATAATTGCATAAATACACTTGATTCTTCATTACTGGTGCAAGACGTACAAGATTTTCTTGGAACTTGCGCATGCACTCTACTCCTCATATCTCAAAGTTTTGCGTTTTGCTTTGGATTGGATCTGGCTCATTGCACACATCGTTGCATTCATATCATGTGTTGCTGCGGGCACCGACCGTTTGGGTCGGTGTCATAAGAGCTCAGTCTCTCCATTCCACTTTTCTCCAGCCCACAGCACTGTCCTGGGTTCTATCTCGGCGGCAGGCGCTGTAAAACTTTGTTTGCGGGTTAGCGCCGCCGTTGGGTGCGAACCTTACGACAGAGTTTTGGCTGTCCCTTCTTTCCTTCCTGGGCTGAAGCAGTGGATTGCAGACAGGAGTTCAGTAGAGATTCACTCTCCTATCCCGATCCCCGCTTCGGTGCCTTTCGCCTTTGTGCGTGGGCATCGGGCGGGATCGGGACGGGGGGTGTGTGTGAATCCCCCTACTTTCCTCCTATCTTGCTCATATCCATCGCCCCTTTCGGCTCGGATGCAGGTACTCGTACTCAGAGGGTGAAGAGGACAACTACCATCATCCTCATCACGTCTACCTACGGACACTTTGGGGGTGGGTTCGGTCCTTCGGTCCCCCTCCCCCTCACACATCTTGCCGCTGCCCTTGCCAGGCTGGGGCTGTCGGGCGATGGGGCTCGAGCAGAGAGGGCGGCCGCAGACCTCGGTGCAGGCCGGTCTCTTGCCAAGTCGCAGAGGGCGCGTGGCTGTTCCCGATCGTCGCGGGCCTGAACAACGCGTGCTGCGGCCGCTGCAGAGAGCGGTGGAGACATCGCCCGATCCTGTCCAGGGCCCGGCGGCGGACCGTGGGTTTCCCGAGGGGCCGCGCCGCGAGCTTCGTGGGCGACCCCTTCGACCAGGTGATCGCGCCCTCGGCCGAGGCGGCGCTCGGCGCGACGACCGTGGACTACGCGGGCGAGCCAGTTGCCGAGGCTCTGCCCTGAGTGCTGGCGGAGTTGGCACTGGGCTTCCGCGGGCGGAGCACGCCGCCGCGCTGGGCGCCCTGGATTGCGCGGGGCCAGAGGTGGCTGAGTGGCTGTTTGCCCCGGGCGGAGTGGCCCGACCCAATGTCTCGCGCGGGGGTCAACTTCGAGAGCGATGTGGGCGGCGAGAGCTCGCGGTGCACCTCGCCGCGCCGGACGAGGACGTGCTCGTCGAGGTCCGAGGAGATGCGTTCTTGAACGGGCTCTCCGCAGTGGGGAAGAAGGGCGAGCCGGGGCCAGGCGCAAGGCGGGTGACCGGGTCCATCCTGGACATGGTGCTAGGCAGCGCTTTGCTGAAGCCGCGCGCTGGCGGGCCTCGATGCTGGCGGCCTCCGCGAGCTGGGTGTCCCTTCGCGTCCCAGCAGGCGAGCTCCTGCCGTGGTCGGGCGACGACCAGAAGGGGGCCTTCTTCGTCTGAAGAGCGCCCGCAGCCTGGCACCTCCACATGGCGGCGGGAAGGCCTCTGCCAGGCGCGCTCGTCGGGCGCCCCGAGCGGCGGGCGTGCCTCGCGTCGGCGGCCATCGCGACGGGTTGGATGCCGGCCGTGCCCGCGTGCCAGGACATCCACCGCAGGCTGTGCTGCCTGCCGAGGGGCGGCGCGAGGGTGAGGCTCGCCCGATCGCGGGGGCGGGCTGTGGCCACGAGGCAGGCCAGTGGCACGTGTGCGTCGACGACTTCGACGCGCCCGAGACCGCGGAAGAGGCTCGGGCTCGCCAGCTGGCGGGCGCGCAGGCGCACCTCCCGCGCCTTGCGCGGGGGAGCAACCAGCGCGCTGGCGTGGCCTGCTCGGCGGAGAAGGTGCCCGCGCGCGCGAGCTGAGTGTCGAGCGCATGGGAGCGGGCGTCGTCGACGGCCTCAGCGGCGGGCTTGCTGCGCCCGGCCCCGAGGCGCTCGCCGCTGCAGCCCCGTGCTTCGCGACGCCGGCGCAGGGGCAGGGGGCGAGGGGGTTCTGCGTGGTGGTCGGCGGCGAGCCGGTGCGAGCGTTCGAGTTCAGCCGCCCGCTGTTCGGCCTGCTCATTTCGACCTGGGCTCTGTCGACCTCGCGGGCGTCAGCGAGGTGCAGGGCTGACGTGGTGGGTGGGCTCGTCCTGGGCCCCGTGCCCCTGCCCGCTGCGGCCACCTCGCTGCGCGGCCGCAGCGGGGGGGGCGGGCGCCGCGTCGGGCGCCTCGAAGTTCGGCGGGTGCGTCTGCGCGTCCACGAGCTCGCGCGAGGAGGTCTCGCTGGGGCGCGGCTCCTTGGGCGGCGTCGTGGACCGGCTGGGCGCGGGCGCGCGGCTGCTCGACGCGCCCGTGGACCCGCGGCGCCCGCAGGCGGCGTCCAACCCGACGATCCCGCGGCGCACTGTTCTCAAGGTCCTCGACGTCCTGGGGCTCTTCTGGCTCAGCTGGGCGCTGAAAGGAAAGCGGAGGGGCCGCGCCGCCCGGTCAGCGCGGGGGCTCCATTGCGAGGTCGCGTCGGACGTGGGCCCCGCGATGGGCCTCGATAGGGGGGGTGCAGGCTGTCGCCGGCGCGGGCGGCCTCGCCCCCTTCCCGACGCTCTTGTGCTGCAGGAGGCTACCTCGCATCCCGGCGGCCCCTCGCCGGCTGGCGCGTGCGTCGGGTGAGACTCGCGCGCGCTGGCAGGCCGAGTCGTTTCGGAATCGTGTTGCGCTCTACGAGGGCAAATCCCTGTCCGCGACTCTTCGATGTGCCTGCCAGGGGGGCCGCCGAGCTGCGAGGGGAGAGAGAAATAAAGAAATAAAGAAATACATATATATATATATATAGAGAGAGAGAGAGAGAGAGAGAGAGAGAGAGAGAGAGAGAGAGAGAGAGAGAGAGAGAGAGAGAGAGAGAGAGAGAGAAAGAGAGAAAGAGAGAAAGAGAGAGATCGGACAAGTAGGCGGACCAGGGTCCGTCCGCGAGGCGCACTGCGGTGCGACAACTCGCAAGCACTATTTGCGGCGGTGCAGCCTTAAGATACGAGGGCGGGCTACAAAAACCCCCTCCCCCGGCGCCGTGCGACTGACGCTACAGACGGCGGACAGACGATGAAGATCTCACCTGACAGACCGCGTGAGGTAAAAGGCCCCAACAAGAAAGGCGACGTGCTGGCACGTGGCTAGGCGGCTTGGCGGACCGCCGGTTGGGCGCTTGGCCGCTAAGCGGCGCGCAGTGACGGGGCACCCCCCGCCCCCACGCCCTGACACCGTGGACGCGGAGCCACACGTACACACGGGCAGGCAGAAAGGAGGAGATTAGCGCGGGGCGCCAGGTGGAGCGCCGCGGCACGATGACAACATAGCTTGGATGTTGAGTGACGGCACGAGACCATCGGGCGAGGCCGTGAGCAGCTCGGCGAAGGCTCGCCCAGCGCTGTGGAGGCGCTGGAGTAGAGGACCTTGACGAGCTTGGGCAGCGGCGAGGTCCGCGGCGAGAGCTAAGCACCTCTGCTGAAGGGCAGCCATAGCCTGTGACAGCTCGGTTTCACGGTCGGTGAGAGGTGGCTGCTCAGTGGCATCCGCCGAGGATCTCGAGACAGAGGCGAGGTCCTCGGTACGCCTGTCCAGGTGGGCAAGCGGCGTGCGGGACCCTGAACGCTGACGTCCGTCACCCTTGCAAGGTGACTGGAGGGGCCGGCGCGACCCCAGGGCTGGAGCCGCTAGGGCCGCGCCCCGAGAGGTCAGGGGAGCCGCTTCCTCTCGCTCAGCAACGGAGGAAGCGTGGGTGGGGTACGAGGGCCAGCCTGGTTTAGTACCCTGCGGGGGGGCTGAAGCCGCCCCCGCGGGTCGCTGGCGATGGGGAGGCGGAGTGGTATGCGCGGTGGGACCAGTCGTGATGCCGTGCAAGGCCGCAGAGGCCGGTCGCGTAGAGGGTTGGTGTCTCGGTGGGGCGGCGTGGTCGGCAGCGTGTGGTGTCGGCGGTGCGTCCTCAATGCCACTCAATCCTCGGGGGGCACCCGGGTCGTGGTCGGCGTCTAGGCGGTGTCCGATATCGTCGTATGTGGGCGTTAACGCTCTTAGGAACGGCGTCGCGGTAGGGTTAGCGAGGTTACCCGACGGGGCGGGGTTTTCGTTGGCTGGTCCGTCGTCCAAAGCGTCCGATCCCCCACCGAGGCTGAAAAGGTCGTCGTCCTGCTCATCAGCGTCTTGAAAAGGAGCGGCGTTGTCATGTGGGTGGGCTGACGCACTCAATGGCGGAGTCGGGGGGGGGGTGCGGGTGCCCGCCGGGGTAGGGTTGGCGCTGGCTGACTCGTCGCCCAGGAAGTCCAAACCTCCACCAAAGCCGAACGGGTCGTCCTCCTGTTCGTCGAATAACACCCGTTGGGCCTCGGCCCAGAGCTCGTCGGGGTTTTGTGGGATGTCTGGTCCAGCCGCGGGTGGTGCCTGGTCAGACAGCAGGGGATTTGGTTCCATTTTGTTTAGTTCCGCAGCTGTGAACCCAGCCCTGCGGTGTGGGAGGGGGAGTGTACGATGTCTACGCTCGTAGATGGCGACAGCGACTCCATGGAGCACGGTCGCTTGACGATGTCGTGATTTGGCAGCTTCGACGATGTCGTCTGGAAGGTTATGAGTACGTGCCGCCGCTGTGGCGAGGGCGTCAGCCTGACGATTGAACTCCTCCGCGATGGGCCCGATGAGCCCGAGGTCGATGCCCGTGTCGACCTGGTGGCTAGCGACTTTCTCTACGCGGAACATGTTTGGCTTGGCCATGACACATCGGTGGACCTTTTCCCAGAACTCCACGTGCGTGCCCTGCGGAGGTGAGTGTCCGTCGATGATCCTTTGGAAGCCGTCGACCACCGCCTGGTTGTCACGAAGACGTGTACGGGCCGTTCAGCACATGCCGTGAGGTGGACAATGGCGAGGGTCTCCGCAAGCTGTGCGTTCTGCGTGATGCCGTGAACGCGCGCACTGTAGTTCATGCGGTGGTCGATGCCGTAGTAGACGCCGTAGCCCGCTCTTGCAAGCAAAGGGATGGCTTGGTTGGTGCATGCACCGTCTGTGGCAGCGTAGACCCATGTCCAACCAGTGTCGTGGTCAAGGTAGGTGGTGTAGGAGTCCTGGGCTGAAGCCGCAGGATCTCCCTCAGGCGGGGGCCTCGGTATGGGTTGAGGTAGCGGGTCCCTCGCGAGGTCGGCTTGCAGATCGAGGAGGGCTGGGTCCTCATCGAAGAGCCCGCAATGTCTTGCGTGCGGAGGAAGACGGGCCCACTGCTCGTCACTGATGAGGGTGGTGAGAGGGACTCTTTCACGGGCCCAGCACTTGCAGTCACGCACAGTGTGCTCCTGAGTTTCCTCTTCCTCATCACAGTAACGGCAAATAGGGCTGGGGTCAGCGGACGTATTCGATCGAGAACGTCGCTGTTGGGTGTGGTCCCCGCCCGACAGGTAGTTTAAGAGGAGCGCCAGCTGCCATGCGTTGCATTTGGCAGCTCCTTTGGTGCGGGCGAGCCACGTGCTGGCGAAAAGGTCGAGGCCCTGTCTGACCGAAGCCAGGTGTCCAAGGTCATGACGCCGTGGCTTGATTTTTCTCTGACAGGCTCTGCGTTGCGAGGCGCGCAGCATGTGAAGGAAGGCGTTTTGGGGAAGGTTCAGCCAACTGATCTGACAGCCCCAGTCGTCGTACATGGTGCCAAATGTGGGCCAAGTCCAACGGAGCTGCTGAAGCGTCTGGACAAGTCGTCCAACAGGTCCTCCCCCAAAAAGGGTCTGGACATGGGGTTGGAGATCCCTGACGAGGCCGCAGAGAGTGGCGTCGCGGTTGACCTGTCGCCGCAGGCACAGGAAGACTTCACGCTGCATAATGGCGTCAATCTCCAGGGCGTGCCCTGGGACGCACACGGCCATGAGAGTCCAAAACTCGACCCACCTCTTTCCCTTGGGGCGGATAGCCGCCTTAAGGGCATGGTTGTAGGCAGTTTTGACGGGGCCTGATGGGGCTTGGATGTCAGTGCCCGTGGTACAGACGCTGGCAGCAAGGGAGCGGGCGTGCCGCGCCTTAATACGCATCGGAGATGGGAGCTTGCCCATACGCGGCAGGCGACTAGTCGCCCTGCGAACACGGGCGTCAGCGGTGGCCGTGAGGTTGAGCGCGGCTGGAACCGGCGCTGCCTCGGCGTTGATGTAACTTCCGACGAGCTTGAAGGAGTCGACCACGCGTAAGGGCCGTTCCGCCAAGGTGAGCTGGGTAACGGCAGTGTGAAGCTCGTCAGTAAGCGCCCATCCCGCCACTTTTCCAGGATGAATGCGTTGACCAGAAAATCGATCAAACTTGGCGGTTTCATCAAGAGATTTCTGCAACTCGGGCGCGGTGTGGGTAGTGGAGTTGCTGTCGTCAACAAAGGTAGTGCTGAGTGATCGCGGAACGTATCGATGCTGTCTCTTGGTCCACACACACATGAGCAGCTTAATGTCGTCCAGGGACCAAGAGCTTCCATGGAGGTGACCGTTTGTCCTGGCCAGTTCCTTAGAGTACGCACCGTTCATGCGGATGTAACGTTTGTGGCGCCTGTAGAAGTTTCTGCGGACAGTAACGATGTCTTGGGGACACCCCGCGTGAAGCGCGAGGTTAAGGCATATGTCCGTGATGAGATAGTCGAAACACTTCTGCCGGTCCAGGGCAGCTCCAGCCAAGGGAAGGAGAAGGGCTCTGGCGTGTTCGATGCGAAGGGCGAGAGAAGTGCTGACGTCCCCAATGGTAGCTTTGGGAACAGCGCCAAATCTCGTGGCGTGGGTCCATCCTTTCCGCCAGTCCGTGAGGCTGCGGTAAGCTGGTGCTTCCCACGCGTACATCCAAACGGAAAGCACCGAGAGAAGTCGTTGGTCCGTTGGGAGTTCGCCTCGGCCTTTTCGGAGGAACGGGTTTGGGACGTGGAGGAGGGGTTCTGGGATGGTGCCAGTGCGTTGCATAGCTCGTAGAACGCTGGCGAAGAGGCGAAGAATGTCGTCGGGAAGCTCCTTTGCCTCCTTAGTAGTCCAACCGTCAGACCCCCCGCGCGTCTCGGTGAACGGGTGCGAATGAAGTGGATGAGTTGGTCGTCGGTGAGGTGGAAAGGGGTAGCTGGTGATGGCGTAGGCAGCTCCTGTCGGTACTCGTCGTAGAAATCGGCCCACGTCGGCATGGCTTCGGCATCATGTCCCGCACGTGCGCGGTACCTGCCCAAGATGGGCTCCCAGGTGTCGACCAAGAGCTTCAGCATGTCCTTGATGTTAGCAACAATGGCGTTGGCAGGGAGGATGTCGGGGACTTGCGCAGGTGGTGGTTCACGGGTGTGGTCTTCGTCGCTGTCCATGTCGGGGGAACTACCGTCGCCGGGGCTGAAGCCGCCAGCTTCGGTGTCAGCGTCGCTGTCGTCCGTGCATGCTTCGTCAGGTTTGAAGGCGGTGGTGTCGCAGTGGAGTTGCGTATCGTCAGGAGTAGTAGGCGTGCGGAGATACGCCGTGGGCGAGCTATCAGCAGCTCGTGCGTATATGGCCGCC